AATGCACTGGCAAAATTCGAACGCCTCATGGACACTGTGCAGAAAGGTCTTTCCTACGGAGCCTGTCGTATACACCTGGATGGATGACATCATCATCGCCGGGAAACGTTATGAACAGCATTTAGAAAATATTAGGAAACCACTCTAAAATTAAGGCTTGCCAGATGTAAACTATTAAGACTTACGTCGGACAAGGAAGTGACTTACGTCAAACATGTCACCTCTGCCGAAGGTGTGTGTACGGATAAAGAGTAGGCAGTTAAAGACTGGAGACGTCGCTACAAGTTCCATCAGCTGAGAAGTTTCCAGTGGCATTTTAGTATAAGGGAATTGTGAAGAATTTTTCTTCTATCTCAAGAGCCCTTTGCAAACTGGTTGACAGCAGGTAATCGTTCTTGTGAACAAAAGAATGTGAGGATGCATTTTATAAACTGAAAGAGGCTTTAACATCTGAGACAATCCTGACTTCAAGTGACTATTCAGATACATTCTGATCAAGGAAGGAATTTCTTCTTTGCTATATTAAAGATCTCTGTCAACTACTCGGCATAGACAAAACCCAAACGACACCTTTACAGTCAGATAGTTTGATAGAGAGGTTTTAATCGAACCATCCTAAATGAATTCTTATCGACGTTTTCCAGAAACCATCAGGACTGGGACAAGAAATTACTTCTACTATGCTTACTGGCCTATCGCAGTGATATCTACGAGACTACCGGCTATTCGCCATCTCAGATGCTCTTCGGTCTTTGTCTGCCTTGTGATCTGTTGTTTGGTCGCCCTCCGAAGACGCCTTCATCACCTGATGAGTACATGCAAGATCTCCAGGCACGGTTTGTAATGATATACAATTTTGCACGAGAGCGAATCATCGTGAAGATGGAGAAGATAAAGACCCGATCCCACACTAGAGCCATCGTTTCGGCGAAAGTGACATGGTGTGATTATGAAATCCGATTTTACGAAAAGGACTTTCTCCGAAACTACAGTCACCCTGAGACGGTCCTTGCAGAATTCTAAGCAGGCTTAACGTCGTAGTTCGGATCCGTAAGTCATCAAATTCTAATTTTAAAATCGAATTCAACTAAATTTCGTTCCTTACGACAGTCTAACCCCTTACTATGGCTTATAGTACGTAGTTCCTATAGTGTGCATAATGTAAAATGTAAACTAAAACTCTGGTCCTATGTGTATGTAAATTCGTAAATTCAATCATTTATTTATTGTTTTAGTATGTTATTTATTGTATGCTATTTATTCAAATTATTGTTTCAGTATTTCATTAATTTTCCTTATTTGCAAGTATGGTTTGCTCTCCAGGGATTGTATTGCCTAGGACATGCAGTCCTTGGGAAGGGGAAAATGTTACGAATTTGGTATATATGTAAATAATTTTAATTAAATTATACCTAAATTGTAGTATGTCTTGTAAGATGAAAGACCTCGAGAAAACAAAGCATCTCCGGAAAAATAGGTTTACAGAGGTAATGTGCCATTTAACATCAATGTGAATGGCTATTTCACGAATCTAGTGAGATATCGCCGAGCTGGCGATGTGGCCAAATTTGGCGGGAAATCGCCAAAAGTGGCTAAGGTACCATCTGGTCACATTTTGGTCCTACCTCTGTACAACTGTAACTGGTCCGATCCCTGTATAACTGTGACTGTATCAGCTCCTATGTAACTGTAATTGCACATCCCTTCTAGCAGTTTCGAGGTATCGAAGGCGCTGGAAATTTCTCAGCGGCCGGGGGAAGACTATATATAAGACCGGAAAGAGCTTTAGTTTCACTTTATTTCAAAGATCAGTTCAAAATTTAGCGCAGAGTATTGAGAGTACTGGGAGGTCAGTGTGCGAGTTTACCAAGAAGGTTAGAATAAATGGAATAATCATGATGTCATAAAAATTAAGCCAAAGAAATGTCAACAACATGACATCACAACTTCTCATGGCCGCCATACAGCGTATGGGTAAGACTACGAAATATTATATTGTTAAATAAAATTACACTGATTTTGAAATATATATCAGCGTACGGAGGTTCAGAAAGTGTCTTTAGGCATAATATGCGAAAAGTACTGTTGATACTTTCCCTGTTTTTCTAGGTTACCTTTTCATGTGACTAGATTTTATTAAATTTGAAACAGTTATTTGCAATCCATGTGATTTTTCTATGTATTAAGTAGAAAATCATATATATTAAGTATAAAAAATTAATAATAAACAGACAGACATGAATAGCTAACATGTTGTTAGTGTCTTGTCCATGAATTTTCTTGGAAGAACGGTTGCAAGAGCCTCAAGAAGGGTGGACTACTACTTAGCTAACATGTAGACACATACATTCAGTTATGAATAGATAACATGTAGATAACACAGATTACAGTGTAAACAAAAGCAACCAGAAGTCCACCTGTGGCAGAGGCCATGATAAGTCGTGACGTCATATCGAGACGTTTCATGGCCTCATTTTCATTGCACGGAACATACGAGAGAGGCTTACTACATTTATTCTAACATACTTGGCATTTACTTATTTGAGGCTTGAAGAGCTAGATATATGAGCACTTATGTGAAAGTTCCAGAAGTGTAAAATGTTTCTTTGGGTAAAATAAATTTGATCAAGCTATCATCGGTTCTATGTGCATTCAATCCCTAACGAACCTGTATGCTCGTAACAATATTTTAGAAAAGTGAAAAAGCTTTTTTTTTTATTTATTTCACTCATGGTGTTTGTCGTTGCTATCGAAGTTCAAACTTTGTAAATACAGTGTTTATGGATAACTATACACTCCCATAATAAATTAAAACTCCCTTGGTAAATTGTTTTTTTTAATTCGATTAATTTTTTTAAATATTTTTTTTAATTCGTTTTTTAATTTAATGAAGATTTTTCGTGCATATCTTTATTTAACAAACAAACTAAAAATCTCAGAAATTTACTATTTTCACGATCAGATAGATAGAAAAATAATCTTTTAAATTAAATTTGAGTTTTTTAACAAAAATTCTAATTTTTTGGCAAAACCCACTGGCCTTTTTTTCTATCATTTGACGCAAACAGTTTTTCGAAGTAAAAGAATGACTATTCATTATCGAAAAATATATATTTTCCATTGAATAATTTCATTGATAGCGTGTCGCTGAGACTAAAGTGATGATAGTAAAAATAATTAATTTTTATAAAATAAGGTTTTATTAAAAGCTCACAAAATATTTAATGAACTAAAAGTGGAAAAATAATTTATCATATAGTTTGATGGGATCAAAAAATTAAATAATTCTCTTTATAAAATTCATGTACAAGTTTATTTCATTAATAATAAAAGCGTAGGCGCTTAAATAACGAAACCAAACAATCAAATTACGTTGTCAAAAGTAAGAACTTTAAACATTTATTAAGAGTCTGTGTATAATATGATCTTCTAATAAAATCATTTCCTTTCTGATGCACTCTTCAATTAGAGCGGAACTTAAGTGGAACTGTTTTTTTAACTCATTTTATTTATTTATTTATTTATTTTACTTATTACGTGCTCCGCCCTTAGGCACTACAAGGAAAGGGAGGGATGCCCCGTGGAGCTCTTTTAAGGGAATTTTTGGCTTGTATTCAGGTTACACATGGGGAAAACCACGAAAACGCACATGAAGCCAGCCAGCCCTTTCGCCGGGATGCATATTTCGTAAGTGCACATCTGTATCGCCACCGAGGGAGTGGCTTCTAGAATGGACCAATGGGCTTCTAGTAATATTTCTGTCATTTCACATTATCTTTGCCGTCTTTAAGCAAGATAGTTGAAAATGTTTTGCCACGCGATTTCCTGTGCACAATAATTAAAGCATCGTAGATAAATATAAGCTTAATTATATATATAAAAAAAAGTCTTTACGTTTTTTATTGCAGTCTATATGGGAAAGATGTTCTATAATAATAGGCAATGCACAGTTTCATTGAAAGTGAACTTTCCTAATTTGCATTCCTACACATTTAATGTGTTAAATTTCACATTAATAGCTGTTCACTCTTAAATGTATTGCTTGCACAAGAAATACTCTTCAAACAGAATGAATGCATAATATTCACAACGAATAGATTTAATTTGTTCATATATAACTTTTAATGTTAATAATATGTATAATCAGGTCAGTTACAATATATACGTTGAATCTTACGTTTTCAAAATCAAAGGAATGAAAGCATTGAATTAGGAAAATCCTAGACACATTTTAATATTTCCAGTTATCCTCAACTCAATAAAAAGTATATACTTGAATCCTCTTAATCCACAGGTGTTAGTAAATGCATAATATTCTAGGCTAATTTTAGCTTGAGTCATTTTCTGTATACAAAGAGCGATAATATGCCACGAACATTAATCCGAATATCAATGCGTGATAAGATTCGCGAAAATTATATGTTGTCGATTAAATGAATTTACAAAATGAAAGCACTATGCGATTTTCTACTGAAATGATAGCAGCATTTATGCGCCATACATTTATAACTGTGAAAGAAATGCAAAATAAAACGTAAACAACAACATGCTCTCATATGAACAATTTCAAAGATTAAGCGTCACAAGAGAAATAGAAGCTTAGTCCATTTTTGAAACCTCTCCCTCAGTGGCGATACTGATGTGCACTTCTGAATTATGCCGCCGGGACTCGAACTGTCAGTGTTCAACTGCTTTTGCCGCTCGGCCGCTGGTGGGCCCAAGTCGAACTGTTAAAGCCGCAAATTTATGGCTGTGTTTTCCCTCAAAAATGTATTAGCCTTTCTTCACAACTTAAATTTTAAAAATGCGATTCGCCCTCATTTTGGCATAATTCGTAAGTTAGCCAATCCTAATTTGTCATAAACTAAATCATCACAAAATGGAGATTAACTATATTTACAAAAATAGCTTAAGTTCATGCAAATAGATGTAATAAGATAATATTAATCTTTAATTTTATTTCATAACATTACATTTTTAATTATAATTCTTTTTTGCAGGATCTGTATTTCGTATTGCGTTTTTGGGTACACATTTCCAGACGGAATAAAACGAACCTCATCTTGTTCATCGAGCGATAATAGATGGTCAAAACCATTCGAAGAATGCGAACGTGAGTGATGATATTTTAATTCAGACTGTAGAGATGGTATATTATTTCAGAAATTCAGCTCAGAATGTAGATAAATGATACATATGAACATGAGTGATAATATTTGAATTGAGAATATAGTAATGATATATATATATATATGAACTTGAATTATGATATTTTAATTCAAATGTAGAATGGAAAAATTAATTCTCCAATGTCTGTTTCTTTAAAAATGCTTTTAAAGTACAGTTAAAAATCTCATAGCGGAGTCTCATGAAGCTTTGTATGGAAAGAAATTGACTTGCACATAAGCGAAGTTAGGGCTATTCCAAGACGAATCCAAAAATAAGACAATATAAAAAAAAAAAAAAAAAAAAAAAAAAACATTATTTATAACTAATTTAAATAAGAGTCAGTAAACATGAAAAAGAATAAATAAAATAAAAAATACGTAAATTAAATGAAAAATAACTTACTTCCTGACTTTATTTAAGGAACTGTGGCGAACATACATCTGTAGACATTGTACTATATTATTAAAAATAATCTCTCGCAATAATTCGTTGTTATTTAAATATCCTTGTAACTTATTCTATCGACATGAAGTTTTACATGAAGTTTTTGTTAGTTATAACGAATCCATCAGAGTCTCAAAGGCTCAAGAAGTAACTTTCAACTGCCTTCAGTGCATTTCAGAGCATCTTAGCTGTTTAATGCATATTTGCTTTCCACGCAGTTTTCTGTTTGTAGGTTTTCTTCAATGTTTTCTTCTCTTCATCATCATAATTATCTTTATATATCATAATTATCTTCATCTTATAATTATCTTTATATAGTCTTTCTGTTTCCAGGCTTGTTTCTTACGTACGTAAATTTTCATCAACTGTGATGTAGTCTTCAAATTAAATTCCAATATAAAAGACTTGAATGGAAAGAAATCTCTTTGCTAGCTTAATTCAGTACATCATCATCATCATCAGTAGTTTCTGATAAATTAATTTTGAAAAATATAGCCTTGTGCAAAATATTTTCACAGCTTTTAACATCCAGCAAGCTGGATCTATAGTCCAGGTAGTAAAACATCTTCGGAACGTAAAACATAAACTTATATATTTTTTAATCCAAACTCAAGATCTGCTGCTTCACCCCAAATTGATTTGGACGACGCATTATGTCTGACTCAAATTGTTCGAAGATTATGAAGTGAAAATTTCTGAATGCAGGTTTAGATTTCTTGTTGATGCAGAGAACCATTTAGAAGAAAATCGTATGCACATGTCAATTTCAATCAAAGAGAAAGGGGATCAATCGTTTAGCTTCCACAGCTTTACTGTTTTGGAATTTTCGTTGCTTTTTATTTTATTTATTTATTTATTTGAATGCTCCTCCAGAGTGTGTGCTTCTAAATAAAACTCTTGCCCTCAAATTTTTCGCTAACAAATCTTACCTCACTCACCCAACACTGGTCTCTTTATCATTTTTGTTTCTTTTGCCATTACTCCTTTGCTTATAGATTCCATGGCAAATCAAATTCTTGAAATCTGAGTTATAGACCAATGCACGTGATTATTTAACACCAACATCAATGAATCCAAAGAAAGAAGAAGAATACTTATTTCGTATTCTCTGGCACGTGGTCCATTCTAGAAACAAACTAGAATTTCGACACGAAGTACCCAATATGAGTGAAAAGATACGAAAGAATGTCGTCATTATAAGTGTTCCAAGAATTAGGGAAAACGTTAAGGGGTTCATCATTACTATTTTATTCGTACTATTTTCATTTTGCAACGCCCTTCGAGCATCACATTTATTCCTCCTAAATGGCACACTTTTGCTTTGAAAAACTTGTTTAATGGGAAGAGACATTCCTTGCTATCCCCCTTCTTCTTTCTAGTTCCCCCCCCCCAAGATTAGCCAATTATAAGAAATCGTTTGAATCAGTCTTTCCCTTTCGTTATCGAAAGAACCTAGGTATGCGACTGAACCGGTAGTGCTTAAGAAAGGTTTCTAATTAGAATTTTTCCTTACCCGCTGTCGGAAATGTGCGCTAAAGGACCACCAAAGTAATAAAGTCTGTAAACCCTTTCGACACGGTGCGCCTTTGTTTTTAAGACGTTCGCTCGGGACAGATGGGAGTCCATAGGAATCGTCGCAACAGATAGGGTTTGGGTCAGCTAAGCCTAACTTTAGAAGAAGAAAAAAATCACGCACACAAACAAAAAAAGATTATGTCCTAGCGTCCTAATTTTTGGTACTATTTTAGATTATTACATAAGCTATCATATATGTTAAAATTAGCGTTTAATAATCTTTTTCCTTCATTTTATATGAAAATATATGAAAAAAATTGCTTACTTCGAGAAATAATTTCCAGAAGCGCTATTCAAATTATTCTAAATATGAAATTGATAAAATACATCAATAGCTATTTAAATTAATAAAAAATACAAGAAAGACTATTTACAAGAAGAAGTAAAAAAATCTTTCACCTAACTGGAAGGCAGACAAAATACTAAAACTGGATACTAAACTGGAAGGCAGACACTCAGCGAGTAGTAGCTTAGTTTCTGACAAGATGTCGAATGAGAATCACTAAAAATATCCTCGTCGCTCTCTTTCATGTCACTAACTGGCTCATTTACCATGCGAGTATGTCCTTCGTCTAATAATACTTGCTAGCTGTAAGAAACTGAAATCAAAGCTTTCTGAAATAAAAAGGGAAGTACGCGAAATATGAGCTATAAAAGCAATCCAAAGCGTAATAGAACACCACATTGTACACCTAAGAGACCCTATATGGTAGCAAAAGGGGAAAAAAAAGAATAAAAAAAAAAAGAGATTGCAAGGGATATCAGAAACGCGAATGTTTACATCACGTGGCGAGTTTAAAGACCCGAATTTGCTTACATTACACATTCTCTCCTCCCCTGCAACATCCAGGGCCCGATTTACGTATAAGCTACACAAGTTATAGCTTATAGCTTAGGGGAACCGCAAACAAAGAAAAATATAGTATAAGTAGTATTAAAATGTACTATAACACACTTATACAGGGCCTCATATCTCAAACAGCTTAGGGCCTTATCAAGTCTAAATCTGGCTCATGGCAACAATTGACACCAAAATTGCGCAGAATGTGATCATATTGAAAGTCAGGAATCCTAAAACTATATTCGGTTCAAAAGTAATGGACACAGGACACCATCTAGTGATTTTTAAAACGTTCCACAATAAAGGCACGAATATGTTACAGCCGGGGGTGAACGAGAAAACTCTCTGACACGCCAGCGGAATGCTGGGATGTCCGGGAAATGAGTGCGTTTCTTGCTGGCACGTATGCGTTACAGTCGACGCGAAAGGCTTAATGGATATTTTAACGTTTGATAGTATTCTATTTTTATTACTTCCTTGTACGAAGTAAAAAGGAAGTATTGTAATCTCGAAAAGTTTCAGGCAGCATATTTCAACGAAAATATCCATTTTGACTGCTATCGAATACAATTTAACCAATACATTAATTTTTTGCGTGATATCTGTACGAAGGACAGAATAAAAGACTCTTTTCCTCCCAAAAAATTATAAAACTGCATTAAAATGAATTCTGAAGAGAATTTTTCGTGGCGTCTGTACGAACGTATGTACGTACGTACATACTTCGCATAACTCAAAAACGAGTAGCCTCAGAACGTTGAAATTTTTTATATAGGACTGCTATAACATGTAGATGTGCAGCTCGTATTTTGGTTGCAATCGGCCGCACCAAACGTATATAAATATATTTACATATATATCCACTCTGTTACCCGACTCAGTGATCTCAGTTTCTTACTGGCATATGTTGTAATTTGCATTTTTTGCTTAAAATGATTGTATTATGTTGTTTTTATCTTCCGGTTAAGGTTTTTATGCCTTTAGTAAATCTGTATGCAATATTTTGAGAATTATCAACAATTTTAAAGTTGTTAAGTGCCGCTATGCCTTTTTTTTTTTTTTTGATGGCGGCCATTGATTGTTTACATTTGAAACAGCAGACTAGTGGATTTGTGGCCAATCTAGAGAAACTTAGCTTCGCAACAACAAAGATAACGCCTTCATTTATTATTGCCAATTAAATCATGCTTAATCCTTTCTGAAATTTTTTCGAGAAAATAAATAAGTGTTTAAGATTTACTTCGTAATTTTTAATATTGATATTTTGAGTTTTTATGTATTTTTGCCTTCTCGCGAAGTCAGAACTGAATTAATTGAATGAGAAATACTCAATCGTCTGTGAAAAATTGTTTCTTTTTTGTTTTGGTTGCTTAATTTCTTTTATGCATCATTCTAGCTTTATTATAGTATTTGAATAGAACATGTGGCAACGATTAGATAATTCTATTCTTTAAATGATATAAATTGTGTGCATTATGAGTTATAATATGAACGAAATATAATAACTATTAAGTGAACCTAGCGCCAGAGTGTCGCTATGGTAAACAGAAAAAAATGCGTATAATTTAATATTCCGTACAAGGATGTCATGTGGTGTACACATCAGACTTTTTATATCGAAATTCAGATTAAGTTGCAACAAATAGCTATTATGACGAAACTGGTAACGTGATTCAAATGCCGAACTGGGATAAATAATGTTATCTAACTCATTTCAATGAAAGGTTTTATCTACAAGACAATAATAATAATAATATATGTACATTACACTTTTATTTATGAAATAGATATTAAATGTTTCTTTGTATAATAGCTGTAATTCGAAACGAAACCAAATATTTATGTTATACCTTGAAATGCTGAAATCAAAGACAGGGAAACATTTAAAATGTTTTTATTTGAATTAAAATATAACCGTAATATTTTCCAAACAGCAAAGATTTAACCATACATCTGTATTCAGTTTAGTTTATCTTGGTCTTAAGTTCCTTTTTACTACCTTCTTTAATCGAGAAAATATTTACAGAATAATTTTTGCTGATAAAAATTAATAAATCACTATAAAATAATAAATAGGATACAATAATTAATATATGAAATAGGATAATATAATAAATAGGATCATTACAAAGCTTTCTTCACTTCGGTACTGATGGTTTCGGTTGGAATTCACAGTTTTCCAAAAGAAATATTTCACGTCTGTCCTTCTCTTTGACACCCCATGCATAAATACGGCAACCGGATATATTAGTTTTTAGGGAAGGAAATTATTAGGCTTTACTCTTAATTAAATAATAATTAAGGCAACAATCTTATATGATACTTTTAACCAGATGTCAAAATTAATTATGTTTAGATGCTTAAAATTTTTAATTTTCGTGTATCTGTTTTACAAAGCAAATGATTAAAATGAAGGGATTTGATAAAAATTTCGAAAGGGCCAATGTACAATAAAACATATCAACTAATCATCTTATAGTTTCTCGGTTTAGAAAATAAATTGAAATCAGCAAAATCGTTCTAAATATACTAATATTATACAAATTAGGGATGGTTATGATTAAGCAAAATGTAGATAATACTGAAAATTTAAGTAACTTAATGACTTCTTATTGCAAGATCTTCAGAGTCTTCGTACGCAGCTGTTCAGTTGATAAGCTATTTTTAGATCTAAACATAAATCCATCATTATTCTCTTGCATATTTCCATGATCCCATCTTCTTTCTGCTTAGTTTAGCTATGAGAGATTCGGAATGTCATTGAACGTTTTATTTTAATTTCGTATCAAATTCTACAGTATTTTAATTCATTATTTTAAACTGTACCTTCTCTTAAGAATAGTTTACTCACATGTGTTTATATCTTTTTAGCGTTTGTTGATTGCACTTTGGAACTCCAGACACCAGGAAGACTAAGTTGCGTAACGAACAAGTTGAAAGTTGGAACCAAGTGCGACATAGAATGTGAAAGTTACGAAGATCGTGAGAATACCCCAGTCCAAACTTACGAATGTCTCATCGATGGCAGATGGATGCCAAAAGAGCCATTTTGTGCAGTACCAGAAGGTAAAGATAATTTTAATATGTTAAATTACCAGAACATTTCCATGAGATTATCAATGAAAAATAGCATACCTATTTCTCATATTTGACATGAGGTGTGTTTTAATGGATTAGCCATTATTAGTAAATTAGACACATTTTTCTTCCAATTGCCTGATGAATCGTGTAAATATTAGTACTTGACAAAGATTAGCACTTAAAAAAAATCTCCAAATGGGGCATTTCCACTTCTCATTGTAACAGTTCAATACATGTTAAATCCTCGCTTTATGTCTTTTCATTTTTAGGCTGCATCTGCCCTTGTGGACAATAATATTTATTTATTTACCATCAGATGAGCAGCTGCACCGCCTTTAAGACATTCAGCTTTTATGCTCAAATGGTGAAGTCATCTACCAACTGTGTTGTTATATATAAAATACAATAAAATTTTAGAATTTTGATAATTACGTAATAAAGATTAAATATCAAGAAATAAACATATAAATACATAAATAGATACAATAAATAAAGATTAAAATATAAAATTATACTATACAACATCTGCACTTGTATATTAAAATACTTATTTACTAACCAGAAGATTATCGGACTTCCCTACGACAATCGCCGTGAAACTTTCGGAGGTGATCAAGCGCATGAACAAAACAGCATGTGCAAACTGTGTCATTTTGCAATTGATCACCCTTCCCCCCCCTACAACAAGGGGCATAGAATGGCGCTCGCGCCCGTTATATTTGCAGCCATAGACCAGGATGTGTATCTTTCAGATTTGAAGCATTCATTTGCCAACAGAGATCGCGTTACCCCGCCATAAAGCTGAAAATGTCATATACTACTCCACTACTTAGTAATACGGGTAGAAGAAGGCAAGGCAGAGAGCAAAGTTGATGCTTACATAACGAATAGATAATTCTGGCACTAGAACTCACAGGTAGGAACACTTCATATGTCACACACACAGTACAGAGACTGATAGAGATCTATAAAAATTTCTCTAGTGTTCTATATGAATTTCTATAGTGTTCTGAAAATTTTTCACACAAGTAAAGTTTGTGGCCTCTGTTGGCATGATGGTAAGGAAGCTGGCTGGTACAGCCTTGGGCTCAAGTTTGAATCCCGGAGAAGGCATGGAAGTTCATAAATGTATAGTGTCTTTGCAGTATACATTTAAAATATTGTTCAGCCGAAAGTCTTTTTCAGAGGTTTCATGGTAAGAAAGTTTCCCCAGGCAGTTTTCGTTCAGAACTGAGAAGGAGTTGGGTGAGTGTTGTACTCTCGTCTGTAAAATGCCCAAGGCCAGGTCAACGACAAGGTGCTTATTACCATTTAGCCGTAATGAATTTCACGAATCTAATCGATCAATCCTCTCACATCAAGATACATACGATACAGTCCCCCCAGGCAGTTTTCATTCAGAACTGAGAAGGAATTGGGTGAGTGTTGTACTCTCGCCTGTAAAATGCCCAAGGCCAGGTCAACGACAGGTGCTTATAACCATTTAGCCGTAATGAATTTCACGAACCTAATCGAGCAATCCTCTCACATCAAGATACATACAAACAAAAATAAAGTTAATGTCCAGAACAAAGAGACGGTTAAGATGTGATGGAAAATAAGTGCCAGATTTAAGCTTGAGACAGTGGCTCCTTTCTTGAAATGTCAGTAGTGAATTGCATACCATAGTCATCTTGTCTTCTAAAATTTGATATACATATGATGCAGAAATTCTACCACTTTGTTTTTAGCTGCCCTGGTTGGTAATACAGCTAGCGATGTTGGCTGCTATATTGTTAGACCCAGATTGAAATCTAAGAGAAGGCATGGGTGTTTATAAGTGTACAGTGTCTGTGCGGCATGAGGGCACTTAAAATACTGAGCAGCCGATTACCTTTTCAGGTGGTTTGGTAGTAGGAAGAGGGGTGGAAGACCCTCAGATCTTTTCCCTGGAGCGTTGCCCATCAAAATTGGACTGGAGCTGTGATGTTAATAAGGTAGAATTATACTTGTACAAACAACGGTGAAATTCTGGTGTCCACCCAATTTTCTCGTCTTGACTTGCTGAACTTTGACTTATATTTCTTAAATTTTCCTTAAATTTCATGCAATTGATACTAAGAAATTTTATTGCTCTGGCAAGGTAAACAATTCCTGCATAAAATTGTTTTGATTTTTGAGGTTCTTAAGAGTAGTGTAAAATGTGGTTCTCTACCAAAGGAGTTAAGTACCTTGCTGTAAGTTGAAAACAATAAATTTAATGGTTACTTTCCTTGGGTTTAAGGAAACAGATGAACATATCATGTATGACTATGACACGTTAATAAAACTGTATGATAAATAACAAATGAATGTACTTGATTGGTACAACATGAGTTGAATCTACTTGACAGTTTACTTAGTTAGGCAGGTACTTGGCGGCGTAGTAAATTATCCGAGATACTGTGCTAGATTCCTTTTAGAATCTAGTCTTCCATAGCTATATTTTACTGTAGGTTTCCATACCTTGAAATCGCCACATCACACTGAAATGCTTCACGGTTGTTGGCCACATCAATAATGCACATCGGGAGGACATACAGTCTTCACCTCATTTCTTGGATTCTGCTGCAGGATTATATGCTTTACTTTTTTCGGCTCAGCACAGCCGCAAAGGAGGAACACAAATTTCCTAACAAAAATGCTTGTCAGAGTATATTCGAATCATATTGTTTGTTGGACACTACTGCATCACTAATATTTGTAACAGAAGAGGACTGCAAGCCATTTGGCTAATCCCACAATATTAGTCCACAACACTATTTGTTACTGGTTGAACATGCTTACATTTTATATCACACTACTCAGGCAATAGTCACTGCCATATATGACACACATGCAACCTACGAGGAATGTCCTTACCACACAAGAATCTTATAACTCACAGATACATTTATTATATGTGTCACTGCAAATATTGTGGCACTGTGATTAAATATATTGCAGGCACATGTCAATTTATATGTTTAGTTTTCAAGTCTGCATGTGGGTATGAAATGCCACACTTTGCATTTGCTATTTATATGCTTTATCACAGCAGGAAGTTCATGGCATTGTCACGGAGAGGCATAATTCACTACCAAGTTGTCTATGTATTACTGAAGTTCCAGCAATTCAGCTTAACATATCACATTTTCTACAAACTTTCAAACATGCTAGCAGTCTTCCCACTTCAGAACACTTATTTGGGATTTATAATACTATCCATAATTTTATTGTTATTTCTCTTACACAAATTAATGGTACAGTTGTTCATTGCCTTGTGCTATTTTGGCTTACAAAACGTTTCAGAAGAACAATCTGTTTTTAGAAAAAAAGAAAGGGGGGAAGACCTGTACCAATATTTCATTTTATAAATTTCCCTAATTCATTTATCTATTAAAATCTGAAAACACAAAGAAAATTTTGCAGAGAGAACTTTATGAAACTCATATAGAATGCAAATAGATATTGTATTGTAAGATATTCCCCTTGAATCACTTGTTATGTGGCAAATATCTAGACAATAATGAGAGTTTTGCCTTGTATGTGGCAACTATAATGTCTATTTGAATATGTCATTGTAACTGGATTTTAGAACTGACACATGGATAACATCCTGGATGTATCTCCATTGGGCAGGAACCCATATAGTATAAGATAAATTTAGTAGCTAACTGCAAAATGCCAAGCCATTGTCAAGAACGTGGTTAATCCAGCAACAATACAGATGCTATTTTGTATAATTTCATAACGAACTTTGAAAATTTCCTTAGCTATGCATAATTTCTACACGAGGTTTCATATATCATTGGCACTATTGCTGTCACTAAATACTACCTATCTACAGTGTTGTGTCCTTGGGTAAGCACAAGCAATATCCCCTCACCTTACCTCTAATGCAGAATAAAATTTCCCTAGTTATGTGTTGCAGAGTGATGAGTGAACAGCAACAGCCTAGGAGTATGGAACAACATTTTGTGATAATATTTCTCATTTGAAAAAAAAATGTCATCTCCTGAAATGTGTCAGACTCGAAGCACAGTATGGGAAATATTTTGTCTCTAGGAACCAAGCACTTGAAGGGTAAGTCCTTCACTGAGGGATCATACTGTGTGCAGAATATAATCACCCTCGAAAACACTGATCACGTGAATGCAGTTATTCATGAGAACAGGTATATCACTATCAAAGAACCAGCATTGATGCTTTCAATTAGTGTTGGTAATGCAGCGACATTGTGAGAAAACATTTGCACTTAGCAAGGTGTATGCTAGGTGGATTCCATGCATGTTGGCATATGAGAACAAAGTGATGTATATGCAAACTGGTATTTCTCTCATACAGCAGTTTGAACAAGAATGTATTTTGTAAGTCCATAATGACTGCCAATGAAATGTGGGTCCATTACTATAATCGAGTTCCAGGCTTAAACACCACTTGGGAAGGCATGCAGTTTATGGATAACAATGCCATTGTCGCTAATGCTCAGGAGTGGATTCACAGTCAGATGAAAAACATCTATGAAAAAAGCATGAAAATGCTTTAAGAATGCTGGCAAAAATGTTTCAATTCTGGAGAGGAGTACGTCAAAAAGTAACATGTTCAACTCATTCATTCACAATAAAGGTTTTGGTTAAAAAAAAATCCTGCTCATATTTGAACCACCTTGTAATATTAATAGTATCATACTTTATATTAAACATGTAAAATAATATCATTTCGTTTGAATAAACCTGCAAAATCACTTTATTTGTTGATATAAGTTTTGTTTATTGCAAAGTATTGTAATTATTTTACATTTTGTATGTATTCATATATTTAACTTTTCAGGTATATCTCTGGTTGATGCTCCTATTAGAAAAGTACACAAAAACATAATTTACCCTAAATAGACAACAGAAATACCTAGTTGCAAACTCAGCATTCTAAATTTTAAAAACAGATATATTATTAGTTTGATTTTTGTATCTTAAGACATTTAATGTTTCAATAAATGAATAAAATATGTATTCAGAAGCAATCTTTGTCTTCCATGCATAACTTTCTCTTTCATACACACCAGAAGAAAATAGTTTTGCAATTTTAAGAATATTTTTACACAGTTTGAAGCATTAAAAGACTTGATTTTTAAGAAATAGATATTTTATGCAGAATCAAAATTTTTCTGTAGAATGAATTTAAAAATTACATTACAGATAAAAATCTATTATGGTAGTTATTTTAATTTATTGTTATGACACTATTAAATAACCAATGAATACACAGTCCCTTCATGATTAGAAAAAAATTAGCAAGGAATTGGAATCTGTTTCTTATAACCAATATTAGTGCAAAAGAAACAAAGTACTTTTACAAATAACAATTTGGAGAAATATCATAATCAACAACTAGAATAAGCACTTTTTTTTCCAGCCCAAAGGAGCATTAGCCCAGAAGGGCTATTAGTCTCGAAATGACATTCTGGGTTTGTTCACCATAAACGGTGTATCACTTTTTAAATTGTTGCCACCAAATATTATTGCCCTGTACTACGTTTAAAGAAATTAAATAATGAAAATTCGGCATGAATGTTTCTTACACTGAGAAAACAACGGTACCTAGAGCCATCAAATTTTGAATGACATAATCCTCCACGCAAAATGGGCACCTGGAAGCCCAAATTTTGAATTTTGAGTTTGTTTTATTATCTATTTCATATTTTGTAAACTTTTAATGAATTTTTGATTAACAAACTCATTGATTTCAAAATGAACAATGGCAACACTGCACGGAAAAAAAAAAAAAAAAAAAAAAATTATCTTCAGTGCACAAGACTGACCGTTGGAAATTCCAACAATATGCTCTTTTTGAATATTTTGCGATATTGCTGTTGAATTGAATTTTATGTGGTTTAAGTGCAAAGAACATGATATTTAGTAAATAAAGTTAACACATGAAACATTAAAAAAATGCCCCTCTGGGCATAATATAAAATTTGAAAAATCTGAAAAAGGCTTCATATTTTTTTTTTTTTTTTTTTAGCTCAAACAGCATTAGCCCACAAGAGCTATTAATTTCATTTTGGCATTTTGCATTGAAAACTTAAAAGGTTGTATCACTCTTCAAATTCTTGCCACCAAATATTATCACCCTGTATTATATTTAAAGAAATTAAATAATGAAGAATCTGCTTAAATATATGCATGTTTCTCGCATTGTGATAAAGTAATAGTACCTAGACCCATCAAATTTTGAATAACGCAGTCCTCCACTCGAATTTGGGCATCTGAAAGCCCAAATTTGGAAGTTGGAATTTGTTTTATTTATTTCATATTTTGTAAAACTTTGACAAATTTTGATTAACAAACTCAACCATTTCAAAGCGAGCAATGGCAACACTGTACGGGGGGAAAACATTTTTATCTCCAATGTGCGAGATTGTGTATTGGAAATTCTAAAGATATGCTAATTTTAATTTTTTTTGTGATATTGCTGTTGAATTTAATTTTATGGTTTAAGTGCAAAGAACATGATATTTAATAAATAAAGGTAACACACAAAACATTAAAAAAAAAAAAAAAAAAAAAAGTCCCTTTAGGCATAATATAAAATCTGAAAACTTTTTTGGGGAAAGGGGGCTTTGCTGGTATGTTTCATACACATAAAAATCCCTGTGCAATTTTCATTTTAAAGGGAAAAAGTTCTGAAATGATGAACACTTCGTTTCATATGGACAAATCAGAGAATACAGGTATACCGAGCTAAGCATTAGACAGCAGTTTGGGGAAGAAATGAAATTAATGTGCAAGCTTGAAATCACTGCGTGCAAACTAGTCTTGCAGTAGACTTGTCATATAAGCGATCAGAGATGATACCATATTCTAGAAATTACTCTTTTTTATTGCCTGTCAAACAGAATCAAATTCATTCTTTATTGAATTTTTAAGTATAAAAGAAAAACATTTCCATAAATTACTTTAAATTAGATCTTGAATTTGACATAATATAGAAAATAGGGAATTTATGTAACCGAGTGGCCAAATTTAGACTTTCTTTTATGTTTAAAGATTGACTTTTCTTATATATGCAAACACTTTTTGAGCTATTTCTTTTTAGGGTGTATAACTGAAAATTTCTTATTATGGCATTCAGCTATACCTGTAATCAATATTCTTAGAAAAAAATAGATGACACTTTTTTCCCTTGTACAAAATTAACTATACACAATTAATATAAGCAGTTGAGCTAATTTATAAATCTAGACTTTTTTTATTCAAATTAGTTCACCTAACATCCAATTTTTTCAGAAGGGAGATCATTCTTCCCTTTTCAGAAAACCATGTATGAAAACTACAGGGTACATGAAGAAAAAGTGGACTAGTTTAAAGTAATAATCCATCTAATACAAAGAAGAAAAAAAAAGTTGCAGAGACAAGGGCAAGAAAAACCTCAATTTGGTTTTCATTCATTTAAATATACATATTTTTTATTTTACAAAGTTATAAAGTTGCATAACATATATAAATTCTCTTTCAATAAAAAAATTATACTGTTGCATGCCTATGGCTTATAATAAATGCACAAAGAACTGATGATAGTTTGATAAAATTTATTTTATCCAAAGAAATGCTCCATGGTTCTGGAACTTTCCACAAAAATACTCCCTCAGCTCTTCACAGTATCAAAGCGCACATCAAGAATTACACTTCAGGCTACTAGGAACGTTAAACACAACAGAATGCACAGTGCATCGAAAAGGCAAAGCTTTCATGGATATCTCAATACTTGGAAGTCAATCTGAACTAATAACTGAAAAACTGATTCTCTCTCTAGTCTTATATAATTTTCCCCATCCACCGAGAAATTTCTAGTTTGCCGGAAATGAGGGCTGGATATGGTTACAATTCAGAATCAATCACATTTTTATTCAAATATGACACCCATGACAGTTATACAGGGACAGACCGTCGTCCAGCGATCGCCAAATTTGGCGACTTTTGGAGATTTGTTGCCAAAACATCGCCAGCCTGCCAATATCTCGCCGAATCAGCATGATAGCCATTTACTCAAAGTCAAATAGACTTAACCCTGTATTCTAATTTTTCTGGCAGCGAATCCTTTCTCTCAAGCTTTTCATGTTACATTATACAGAAAAATAATGCAATTTCAGACATAATTTTACTATAATTATCTATGTACAAAATTCGTAACAATATATTCTGACTCAAGAGTACAAAAGTCATTTAAGAAATATTTATACATAGCACTTTTAAAATAATAAACAAAAAACAAATCACTATGATTAATTAAGACACAATAACACGCCGAATAAATACGAATTCAGAAGTCAAACAACAAAAATCAGCGTTATATTTTTCTGCTGCCAAAATTATTCAAAAAACATCTTCTATTGGAGAACTGGATTTTCTAGAGGCATTTCACATTCAAAAAAATCTTTCTGTTCTAGTTAACGATCCTAATTCCAATCCAAATTTGCCTTCGGCTTTTAGAGAAATTATGTTTTAGTTCTGGTTTCGCCAACAGATGGCGCCACTTGCTTATTCTTGTCCAGGCTTTCTTATCTTATCTAATCATTATATTTCCTATCTTGTTCATTTGCGGTTTTGCAGCTGAAGATGATGGTTTGGTAAAACCATCGAAACTAGTCAATATAACGCTGATTTTTGTTGTTTGACTTCTGAATTAGCACTATGATTAAAATAGTTTTGTTTAACAGATTTGAGCAAAGTTTGCAAAATAAGTTTCTGGAAGCATATTCTTTTATATTTGTTCTCATTCAAAGAGAATATAATAGAATTCTTACACAGTGAGATTTTTAGAGAGTAAGATTCTTAAGCACAGAAAGCAGGATTCTTCAGATGAAATATTTCATTAAAAATATATTCTACAGATTGAAAACTGCTTCAGTAATTTGCCATGTGGTCAAAAGAATTTAAAACTTGTCATCTGAGAAAACTTTATTATAGTATGTACTAGATTCTTAGTCATGACCAAATAATACTATATAAAAAATGTGTAGATTACTAGTTCATGGAACAGAAAAGCCCCAGCTGTAGATTCTAGATGCTCTATGAGATTTATACAATTGATGCTCCACATAAGTTACTATTCAAAGCCTCAGGTATCTTTACTTAATTCATTAAAACCACAGAGTTTTTTAACACTTGCAATCTATTACAGTGCTTTTCATAAGGCATACTCATCAACGATATCATCCTAAATTTTCAGGAATATAATTTTCTGTAGGCATAAATGCAAAAGAATTCAATATTTCTTGATTTAAATATGACTTCAAGCAAGCCTTTCTCAATTTCAGCATGGTGAAAATTTCTACATTACAGCTAGTAATACAAGAACTGCCATAAAATCCATATGTTAACTTATACATTAGGATAAGTAGCTTGTAAAGATACATATGAATGGAAAAAGGAAATTCTTTTGCCATTTTTCCCTTTTCAGAAATAAGATCCTGCCAGTTGCACAATTCTATGATAAATTTTCAGCATCAATATCAGACCGATGGATGCTTACTGTACTTTCCTGTGTCATCTGAATTAAAGCAAATTACAAATATTTGCAATATTCTACTACCCCATTTTTAAGATGATGTTGAAATGAACTGTGTACACTCATCGCAGCAGCTGCTGACCTGCTTCATTGAAAAAAGGTCTTGTTTTGTAAGCACGCCAAAGAAACTTCACAGAATCTGCTTTTCTGGGTCTACTGGAGCTTCACTAAATTGTTCATAATAGAATATTAATTTCCTTCACTCAAGTTCTAATAATTTTGTACACAGGTTCCAAATATTTCTGCAAGAACATCTAATGCATCTTGAACTTCAATGACAACCTATATCCATTACCCTTACAATGAGACAAGAATTCTACCACATCTTCTGAAAGATAAATTAACTAAAGTTTCACAAGGGGATGTTAAAATAGATTTTGTGCTGCTGAGAACAATTTGGTTGGCACCCTAGATGGCTGCCTATGTTGCCTATGCTTACAGCTGGGTCCGGAGATGAAAAACTGCTTTATAATGTTTGGTTGCAATGAAATAAAGACAATGAAACTTAAATAATAACAATAAATAATAAATTATTTTCTTTAAAAGCTACACATTTTTTACATTTCTAAACTCAGCTTCATCTGAATCTTCATTTAGTTTTTGACCAACATTGAGAGCAACAATAGAGCCAGGTGAAGATCGTATTGTAAATAACACAGGAATGCTGTCCAACTTAGGATTTGCATTGCGAAGGAAACGAATCCATGATAATAGAGAGTCCTTACTTGATGTCCCAGTGCAACAGATACCCATAACTATTCCATCTTCTTGTTCATGGACAGATGATGGTTTAACAGTGAGATATGTTGGCTTTGGTTCACCAAACATAAATAAAGATAAATTCGACACATCTAAAAATAGAAATAATGATTTCTTTTAAAATTCTGCATGGATAACACAGAAATAATTCATACATTTTTACATTAAATTAGTAAATAGAAAATTACAGCATTTATAAGACTTTTTTAAATTCACTAACATGAAGTTTGAGATTTATGATGATGGAAAAGAAAAAGGACGTTTATCATCATATCAAAGTAAAAGGATTAAATGATTAAAAGTAATATAAAGAAAAATTTTATTACTAACAATGTTATAAAGGAAAAAATATGTAGCAAAATTAGTTACTTATTTTTAAAAATAAATAAGCAAAATTTATCAATAACTTTTAATACAATGATGCAGTTTCAGGAAACAAAGACATGCTAAGCTCATTACAGATTCATAGAACAACTATGTTGCTTATAATATTACACATTATATCTTGCTTTCATCTGTAGAATAAAATGCAATACAAAAGTAAAGCCTAAATTATACAGCTATGTATTCTATGTGAGGGGTTTGCTCCATGGCCCCCCTTTCACTATTTTTAGGTGGTTATTACCCCCATTCCAAAACTCAAAATATATATATCATTTATTTAAATTTACATTATTTTTGGCATGTTTTATAAATTAAGCAATAATAACTACAGAAAATGTCAATAAATATCAAAACTTGAATAAAAAGAGTTCTTTATATTCATAAAATAAAACTAAATGCTCAACAGGTAAATAAAAGGCTGACAGCATTTCCACCTGAAACTATGAAATTCTCCCGCTGGAAATTCCCCCAGTTCAAGTATATAAACATTTGGAATTCCCAATACAGTACTAACTTTTGTCCCATATTATTCCTTTAAAAATAATACTTGGTGACAGTATCCTTTTATGTGTAAAGTGATTCAGAGATTGAGGGTGAAAAATTTTATTTTTCATGACAGCTCGTCTTTATAATGAACATATTTTTGTTACATTAACATAATTCCAAGAATATATTTAATTGTTATGAATGTAATATGTTGTCCCCAATCACACACTTATTTTAAATATGAAATACGAGAAGTTTTGGATTATGTCATAATATATTTTTTCTAAGGAAGTCCATTCAGAATTTCAAGTAAAATATCACTTCCAGTTTATCAATTTCAACCAAAATCTAATACAGTCAAAAGTCATTAATTCGGATACCCATAATCTGGAATGATCTATAATTCGGACCTCAAAGCTACAAACTTTCTGCGCATGCATCGCGTTGACGCATGCACATAGCCGTTTACGGATACGCATAAGACCTTTAAGCTGCGCATATGCGTGTGCGCAAATGCATAATACATTTACGCACGCGCGTTTAATGTATAACGGACGGTATAAGCTAAAATTATCTATTTCAGTTAATGTTGCAGATTGCGTTGTTCCTTAATCTTCGAATTGGATCTGGCTTATTATTTTTTGCAGACTGTTAGATCAATTTTATAAAAATAAGCTTGAACTTTCGATTATGTCAAATAGAATTTCTGATACTGGAGCTGCCAAAGGATCTACAAAGCGAAAGTATGTTTCAATGTCCATCAAACAAAAAGTGGAATTGCTGCAAAAAATGGATAAAGGCATGAAGAAAGTGAGAGAGGTTACTGAAAACGAAAAAATTTCAATTGACAAGTTAGTCGGTATTCTTGGCACAGCAATTACAGGACTTGAACAGCGGAACTTTGTAACTGAACAAGAAATTATGTCTGTTTATATAGAACTAAAGAGAAAGTATTAGCACATAAAACAAAGCAACTTAAACAACTTACATTGAAAGAAATGTTTAATAAAGTAAACAAATAAATATTAAGCTTTTTTTTTTGTAAATTTTTTAGATCATGATTGTTCTTTATTTCATAAATTACGGTTTCATATTTTTAATGTTATAATTTCTGCATGCCATCTTACCAGATTTAAACTGATAATCTATAACCCGGAAAAATCGATAATCTGGAATCGCCGAAGTCCCAACGAGTCCGGATTAACGACTTTTGACTGTATGTGGTTCCTATCAATATACAAGTCTAAAATACTAAATTTGAAATGTTTTGGATTATGTTTCAATACAGTTTTTCATTAAAAACTGTTGTGGGCTTCAAGTAGCTGTCGTTGACTTCTGGTTGATTATTAAAGAACTGTTATGAGCTTCCGTATCACTTGCAGTTGTTCAATTTTACCCAAAATCTAATCAATTCTTTATATGAATTATGGGTAGAATATAGTCAGGGTTCATAGCCACATTTTAGTTAAAAAATAAGCACCTATAAAGCACTTTTCAAGCACATTTTAAGAAAAAAAAATAAGCACTTGTCTAATTACATTATACACAACTGCATAACCTTAAAAATTAGACTTGTGATTTAAAATATGAGAAATGCAGTATTTATTAAGAGAGAATAAGCATTACCCCAAAACCATGGAAAATAATTACTTTTTTTTTTTTTTTTTAATTTTAAATAACAGTTCAATTTACAGAACTAGTTTACAATGACAGAAGAAAAAAAAAAAAAAACTATGCAGAACTAAACTATATTAGAAGATTTAATGATGAAATTTCAGTTCAAAATAGAGAAAATAAATAATAATAAGGCATATTTATTGTATTCGCTTGGAACCTAATAAATTTATTTTTCCACTCATATTTAAATAATTTAAATCTAAATTCTGAACATTTTCTAAATTTTCATTGTATATCAGTTTTCCCCAGATACTGCAAGCAAAGTAATTTAAGTAAAAAAGGGGAACAGTTCTGAAATCAGAAGGCAGAAATTTGATTCATGCAGTCATCCTTTAACAGTAAAAGCTTAACTAACCCGCATACTTGGAAATTGGCGAATATTCGGACACTCGAGCATAATTTGAAAAAGAGGAGCTGGGGGGGGTAGACTGTAGCCGCTCTTAAGATTTTTCAGCTAAATAAATGCTTCTGACGTTTCGATATGTGAATCATATAAAAATAAACCAATGGAACTGAAAAATATTCTGCTTAGCAAGCACAGTAAAACTCTCATAAACAAATCTCGGACAGAACATCAAAATTAATTATCTCTGCAAGATATCGCAAATGATATTGCGCAATATGTGTGCCATTATTCTTCCCTACGTGATATTACACAATCAGAATCAACAGCTGCCAGTATTGTGAGAATAAAGAACTAAATAACTGGGGTGTTTTTCATTCTAATTTTCAACAGACGGCGTTAAATTTCCGGAACAGATTCATTCTTCGCTTGGGTTGGTAGACCGCAGAACTTTTAGTCCTATTCAATCCAGATTGGAAAGTGATTTAAAAAAAAAAAAAAAAAAAAAAAAAAAAAAAAAAAAGGTCCGTTGCTTGTTTTGCAGTGAACTGTAACAGTTTCAATATTCGAGATTTTGCGGAGAAAGGGGAGAACCTCCCAATCTTCGTACTGTATAATGTATTGGCCAAAAAAATGAAATTATTTTGACTATTTGATTACCTTTCCCCTTTATTTAAGCCACTCAGCCACTTCGAATATTTTTTTCTTAGTAAGCTAATCTGTGTTAAACACAACCATTTTTTGGAAGTTTACTATACTTCAGCAGTTACTGCAACTATGTTATTATAAACATTTATACATATGCTCATAATATAAGCATAATGATCATAATAAACACAAATATGAACTGACCAAGTGGAACGAGAATGCAAATTATTAAGATCTTGATAAAATTCAAAAGTGTGTAGTATTTGGGTGGGAGGAAAAGAATGCCGAATGTACCGGAATTTTCTACTGCTTTCGCAATTCTTTGACCAATAGAACGACAGGCACATGTCTGTACTCTTCGTGCACACCAAAGGTTACCTTAATGCAGAGAAAGGGGAAAAAGCTATTTCCGGGAGTATGATTCACCATCTGACATTCCATATTAGGAAGAAAAGTTGTTTATTTAGTTTCAGCTTGGGTAATGGGAAAAATAGCGCACTCATTAAAAACACAAAAAAAAAAAAAAAAAGCACTAAAAGCAGAAAATAAGCACTAAAAACAAAAAAATAAGGGCTTTATAGAAAAAGTAAGCACCTATAAGGGCCTTTATATTTTATTTTCAAAAATAAGGACTTATAAGCACTTATAAGGACTGCTACAAACCCTGATAGTAATACTGGAAATTAAATATGGAATTATAACTTTTTAGAGGTATCATGCAGGAGTTATCAAGGACCAAAAAACATCACACATATACAAATATAAATATCATAGTAAGAATAGTTAAAAGCATGTAGTGGGGATCCTATTTCATGCCTATTCTCTGAAAATTCTCATTGAATTTTTGAACTGAAACCATTACCTCCCTTTATCTATGTATATACATTGGCTGCAGGTAAAAAGGGTAATTTTTAAATGTTAAGTTATAAAAACATGCATACAGTCAAAAGTCATTAATCCAGACTCGTTGGGACTTCGGCGATTCCGGATTATCGATTTTTCCAGATTATAGATCATCAGTTTAAATCTGGCAAGATGGCATGCAGAAATTACAAAATTAAAAATATGAAACCATAATTTATGAAATAAAGAACAATTATTATCTAAAGGGTATCAAAATTTACAAAAGAAAAAGCTTAATATTTATTTGTTTACTTTATTAAACGTTTCTTTCAATGTAAGTTGTTTCGTTTCATGTGATAATACTTTCTCTTTAATTCTATTAAACACACATAATTTCTTGTTTAGTTACAAAGTTCCGCTGTTCAAGTCCTATAATTGCTGTGTCGAGAATACCGACTAATTTGTCAATCGAAATGTTTTCGTTTTCAATAACCTCTCTGTCACTTTCTTCACTATCGGAAGGGAATTATAATGACGAGGAACTTTGATTTAAATCATATCAAAGACGGAGTACATCGAGATGAAATACTACATTTAGTAAGGAATTATAAGCCAAATAAAATGAAAACATCTGCCCTGAAGATAAGGATAGTGCTGACAGATCAACTTCCAATTCATTGCGTGCCGCGCCCTCCCCCCCTTGCCGCAGAGCAGCGTGAAATTGATAAACAGATTTCAGATTTCAAAACATACTTTCGCTTTGTAGATCCTTTACATATTAGTAAATATATATCGGAAATTCTATTTGACATAATCGAAAGTTCAAGCTTACTTTTATAAAATTGCACTAACAGTCTGCAAAAAATAATAAGCCGGATCCAATTCGAAGATTAAAGTACAACGCAATCTGCAACATTAACTGAATTAGATAATTTTAGCTTAGCTTATACCGTCCGTTATACATTAAACATGCATGCGTAAACGTATTATGCGCTTGCGCACATGCATATTCGCAACCGTAAAAGGTCTTACGTGCACGCGTAAACGCCTATGCGCATGCGCAGAAAGTTTGTAGCTTTGAGGTCAGGATTATAGCTCATTCCGGATTATGGGTGTCCGAATTAACGACTTTTGATTGTACTCTAAAAATAAATCAATTACTTATTGCTACTTCTTTCACTTCTTGATAATCACATCAATCAAGAACTAGCAATCTTTACCACAAAGCGAAAAAAAAAAAAAAACATATTACATATGCTTTCAGATAACAACTGATTGCACATTTTTATGCTTCCTTAAAACAAAATTTTTGACAATATTGCACAATTAAAAGTTAAAATATGCAACTTCAGTTCTCATTTCCCAAACATAATTATTAACAGTATAGAAAAATATCAAAATGTTCCATTATTAGCAATTACCACAAATCATGATAAAACAGCATATTAAATAAGATACCAACTAACAACTGACTGACCACTTTTTATGCTTCTTAATATATATCTTGCATGTAAAGATTTGTATTTCGATTCTCATTTTTCAAATGCATATATTAACATGAAAAAAGAATATAAAATTTTTTTTATTTCATCACCACATATGAAATAATGGAAAAGAAAATATTTAAAAATTGAATTCTTGGCACAGAAATACAGTATTGTGACAGAAGGTACTTTACCATCATCATCTATTTCAATATCCGGGTACTTTTTGGGATCAGCACGCAATATGAAATATGTCATTGATATCCTCTTTAGCCATACTAAGAACGGTCCTTCTACATACACTGGTTTTTCTTGGGGATGTTCATCAATAAGCTTTTGTTGAACAGGACTCTGAGCACTCATAATCCATGTTTTATCTTTTGAATCTTCTAAATCTGCAGCCTGTAATAACATAGTTTTTAATAAAATGTTCATTGCTGTTGTATAATATAAAATTTCTTTTCATTTTTCTATATATCTACACAAATAATATACAATATTCATATGTGTATATAAATCCAATAATTATCACATTTTATTTGACTTTGTAAATATTGAAAAACTTCAAGTGTTTTTTCCGATGTATATATTAATATGACCCAGTTTTTTAAAAAAAAGTCCTTCTAAGTAGATACCTCTAATGCTCTTTGTCATAATCCAATAAATCTAAAATTAAATGTAGAAGTTCAGTTATCAAATACACTGCCCATATATGCAGCAATACATTTTCACTTAAAAAAAAAAATCAGACAATTGTACAAATTTAGCCCTTGCACACACATTTTCGTTCATAAAATTTGATCACTTATGAAGGTGACTATGATACTATTTTTGTGCAAATTTGAATGTGTCTTTATGTCTTGTGCCATGCTTTGTGGTCTACCATACTGTTTCTAATTTGAGCTGAAATTTGTGAGTATTTTTTCATATTTTATTTCTTTTCAATCAATCCTTTCACATTTTCTATATAAATAAACATTCAAGTTATGATTCTTAAAATTCAGATTTGTTTCAAAATTATATTTTGTGTTCATTCTTAACAAAAACATGTTAATGAGTTAATTCAGGATAATTATTTACCATTTATTTTGCATAAGAAAAATATTTGTAGAATCTTTCGTATCTTATTACACCAAGTAAATGAGTGTACTGTAAAATAAAACTGATGAATTTCAGACATTAATGGTCACCCAAAAGGGATTGTTCAGGATTTTTTTATGCTGTCGATGCATTTGCAGTCTACCAGTCAGCTGTTACGCTCCCTCCTACTAATCCCTTTTTTTTTTCTCCTCTTACCTTTATTATTAGCATCATTTTCTTCACACTTGCACCATATACAATTCAACAGCAAAATTGCAAAAATTTGAAAAGCAGTATATGTTTAGAATTCCTGATGCAGCATTAACTCTTTTTTTTTTTTTTAATTTTATCTCATTTCATCATATGCTTGTTTGGTTTTCTTACTAAGATGGCTTTACAACACTTTTTTTTTCTCTTTTTATTATTAACCTTTTGTGCGTTTACTTTCTTTATTAAATATCAAGCTCTTCCACTTATGCCACAAAAAATTCAATTCAAAGCAAAATCACAAAATATTTAAAAACAGGATATCTTTAGAACTTCTGATAGACAGTCTCGCATGCTGGAGATAAAAATATTTTATTCTGTACAGTGTTGCTACTGCTCACTTTGAAATCTTTGAGTTTGTTAACCAAAAATTAATTAAAGTGTTACAAAATATGAAATAGATAATAAAACAAATTCATTCGGGCTTCCAGGTGCCCATGTTCAGGTGCAGGGTTACATAATTCAAGATTTAATGGCTCTAGATACAGTTGTTTTTTCACATTGCGAGAAACATACATACATTCATGCAGATTTTTCATTACTTAATTTCTTTAAATATAATACAGGGCGATAATATTTGGCACCCAGGGGTGTCATCTTAAGGCATAAGGATATGCTATAAATTTGAGATAGAAAAAAAAAAAAAAAGATTTTTTTTTTTTTTAACTCAGTCAAATAATAACATCTTTATTACTTTAAACACATACTTTTAAATCAATCACCAATTTTAATTAAAATCAGAACTTTAAAAGAAGATGAACTGTGTACTATTGTGTCTTCTCTAAATTTGCCTCTGCATGCTGTGAATACCAGCATCATTAACAAAATAGTGTATTTTACAAGGACAAAGGGAAAAACCTTTTCCTTTTTTTTTTTTTTTTTCCCCCTCCTACAACATGAAAGGGTATCGGAATTTTCTCTAAATGCATGCAGTAATTTATCGCATTTTATTTTCTTTAGCTAATTTCATTTTTCTTATGCTTCTAGACTAAGAAAACTTTAATTTATTAAAGTGTTTTTAAATACGTTGAACATAAAATTATTTGCATTGCATATTTTTCATGCCTGCTCTGAAATGAGCCTAACAGCTCTATGTACTTATTTAAACAAAATTAAATACAAATATTTAATGATATTAATTATTAAACATTTGGTTGAATCGTCATATTAAGTTTTATAAATGCCAACAATATCATTAAGACAATTCAGTTCAAATAAAATTTATTAAGAAAAATTATGCTGAATATCACTAGGGATGAGAGAATGACATTTACATAATTTAAGCTTCATTAATTCAATAATGAATTGTGCAAATTTTATTTCTGAAAAACAATTTTATTAGTTAAAGCTAAAAATTTTAAAAACAAGAGATTTGGTGATCTACTAGGAAACCAGGAAATGTGTCGAAAGAACAGAAGAATTGGCAGCTATACCAAAGGAAAGAGCTTCCAACATAATTATTCCAAGTGTGGAAGTATTAAGACATTTCTACACATTTATTCAACCATGTTAAGATATTACTAGACATGCACATTCTAACCATCAGCACTTGATGCTGTCATCCATCACTTAATTTCAACTGGGGTCTATCCCAGAATATATGTACAGGGTGATCTTTTTTAAAGTGACAGTGTTTAGAGCCCCCTGTAGCGCGATCTAATAGCCGAAATGTCCCCAAACGTGGTATTTAGACTAATCAAGACATACAATCGTACAGTTAAATTATTATGTTTATTTACTACATTAACTTCCCCGGTGAGTAATTAGACCACATTCAATGTGAACACCATTCTCAAAAATAAACACCGTGCATTCTGTGCACACGTTCTCCACCCACATCCGTGTGTAACATATCACGAGGAATATTCCGCACTTTTTTATGTTATGTTGTCCTTTAGAATAAGACAAATTTGATACTGCCACCAACATAAACTTGAGATTTCAAATAACCCCAGAGCCAAAAAATCGCATGGCATGAGGTCAGGGGAAACGAGGCGGCCATGCAACTAGAAAACTGTGACTTTTATGACTCTATCAACAGTGAAGTTTTGGCGCAACAGCTGCTTTAACCTTATTACTTAATGTGTATAGCGGAGCACCATCCTGCATAAATAATTGTCTATTGGAGGAGACGGTTTCTTTGCTGAAGTTGTGGAATAAGAACAAACGTTTGCAGCTTTTCGTGGTACCTTTCTGCATTTATGGTGCACGTTTGGGGTCCTGTCAGAGTGATGGTCTCAATTACGAATGGCTGTGAAACCACACCAAATAATGACTTTGGGGATTTACTTTGTGACAGTGAGGCTGCTCAGAAGCCCAATTCGGCTCTTATGGACCCATTGAGATAAAAATGGCACTCATTTCCCCCACAGAATGGCCATGGGAAAGATCACAATTCTACCCTGCAAGAAATGATAGAGTGAAGTCACTCGCTTTCATAATCACTGGTTTCAATTCGTGCAGGCGCTGATTTTATAGAGGTAAAATCCAATAATGCGCCGCAAAACTCTCCATACCGTGGAATCTTCTCCAATTGTCGAGCTACACCCAGGCCTGCTATACCAGCAATGGTTCCCTGCGATCCTTCGCAATTGCAGTTGCCACATCAGTTATTACATCTTCTGATACTGGTTTACGTCCTTTCCCAGCGCGAATGGTCAGTAACCCCATTTCCTCGAACTTCTTAATCATTTTCTTAAGACCATTCAGAGATAAAGGCCCCTTTTGTAATTTTTTTCTGGTTCGAAATTCCCGAAGAGTAGCGGATGCATTACATTGATTCATGTAATACAACATCACCAATAACGCACGTTCCGGTAACGTGATAGGTATGTCCACTGGAGCTCGTTTACATCAACTGAGATTATTTGTCGGAGCTGCCTACTACTTGCTTTTATAGCCCCTATTACTGGCGCTGTCATCGTACAACATTTGCATTTTTCTTTGATACCCGTGTTTTATGCTAATTCTCGTTAATGTAAACTACAGTAGCGCCACAAAATGCCCTAGCGGCGATTTTGGAACTAAACATTTTTTTCACGGAATCCTTTTTCCCATGTCTTGATTAGTCTAAATACCAAATTTGGTGCCATTTCGGGTATTAGATCGCGTTAAAAAAGATCACCCTGTATGTCTAACAATGTACTGTATTTTAAGAGCTCTTTAAAAAATACGTACTGCTCTGTAGTATGTTTTTCCCCCCTCATTTAAAATTATACAAAATTAAAAAACATGTCTTGTTATTATACAAAAAAAAAAAAAAAAAAAAAACGCACATAAATAAAGAATAAGCTAAATTTTATTTGCTCTAGAAGTATAAACGATGCAAACAATGGAATCTGTATAATTGGAGTTCTGCTGCATTAACATATGGAATCAAAAGTTGAAAGTTAATTACAAGATGACAAATATATTACGATTTTTTTTTTTTTGGTACTTACATCATATTCTTCTATTTTTGTTCTTTTGTCAACACACATTTTCTTCAAAGCTAATCTTGCCAACTCACGGATATCAGTTGGTAAAGGGTCAGGCAATGGATATGGATTGATATTCTTCAATTTTGGCATCCAGTAAAGCATTCTAGCATATTTCTTAAATACATGAGAACTTTTACCAAAAGAAGCCACTATGATATCTCCCATTTCTCTGTCAGGACAGATACCTAATAAAAAATTTAATCAAATATAAACAAATAATAAAAATATTAAATATTTAAAATACACATTAATTTTAGGTTATCCATACAGATTACAAAGATTAACATATGAAAAAATGAAACATTAATTAAAAAAAACACAGAAACTAAACAGCTTGGTTTTGAAGGCAACTGACGTAGGTCTTCTTATTCAAAATCCACATCTGATCACACATTGCATACCCTTAAAAATTTTGCTGTACACATCCACCACACAAGTGGAAAACTATATTACATCATTTACATAATGTAAACATTTTTGGATACAAAATAGTTCAGTAAATTTTTATTAAATTATTAATCATTTACAATAAAATACACTGCAAATTAAAACAACAGAAACACTGCTTTTATTTGAGCCTTAAGTACTATAAATAGAGATGTACTACAGTTAAAAGGTACAGGCAAAACTTCCCCAACTATAATCCATTGATGAATTACATATTGTTGCGTGCGTACGGGTTTGTTATGAAATGAATGCACAAGTCCGATGAAAAATGAACAAAAATTTATTATTATCACAACAAAAATGCTTAATTTCTCAAATTATCATGCGTATTACAATAGCTCACGTAGTTATTTTTAACTATTCAAATTCCAATAGAACACGTAATTCAAAACACTAAGAAACTATCCGTGAATTCCTACAATCAACAGAGCAGTTTTCTAAACAACCAAAACTAAGACTACTACGAACTGAGATGTTTTCCTCTTTTATAAATTTTAAAAATCATGTGCTAGAATTTTCCAGTACTT